TGGCCGGGGCTCTGGGGGGCTCCCCGGCGGCTGCTGAGGACCCGTCTCCGCCTCTCCCATTGGAAAAGGGTTTCAGCTGCTGGGACGCAATTGTGGGAGCAAGTTGCACAAAACAAAGTCAAAGTAGTTAGGAATTATGGGCCGAGCAGTCCACAGCCCTGTGAACTGATGTGATCCCTAAATCTCCACCACCTTCCAGGAGGAAGCTTAGGTTGAGGCTCGGGGGCTCTTAAATTTGTTTTTCAGCCTCTTTCTGTCCAAGCTACCCGAGGTCCCAAGGACAGGTCCAGGGGATCTTACACCCTGCTGCGATGAGGAACACGCCGAGCCACTAGCAGAGCCCGCTGGTCCCCACTCTGTAGCTGGGGAGGTTAAGCAGGTCTCAAAAACCCAAAATCCTCTTTATGCCTTGCTCAGTGGTGACGTGGGGGTCATAACTTGGCTGACTCGCTGAGCTGCTCTGCAGGCTACAGAAAAGCTCAATTTCTACTCTTAGGAGCCAAAGCTTTTTCCTTCTTGGCATTGCAGAAGACTCTCCCCACCCCTTCTTCCTGTGGGTCACACTGAAACAATCTGCATCAAGGCACCTACTGCATCCTGCATCAGTCATGTAGCCAAGCAGATCCCTGGTGGTCCTGAGACTCCTACCAACCATCCCTCTGGATTAACCCCAACCACACACAGCAGCCAAACGGTGCTCGCCATGATCAGCCTGAAAATAATTCTTATTTTTTAACATTTGATCATTTACACCCATAGCCACCAGCAGAGCCCAACAAGCAGCACGATGGCCCCTCTACCAAGAGCTGCTCCGAAGGACACGGTGCCGCCGGCCGGGACAAAACCGGACTAAGGCAAAACGGTTCCAATGATCGAAAACACAACAGCAGACAGACAGACTGACAGACAGAAGCTGAGCGGGTCTGTCCCGGCACGGGACGGCCGGGTGCGAGGCGCCGGCGTCGCAGCGGGGAGGCACTTACTGTTGGCTATGTTGGAAGCAGTGTAACTGTCTGCCATTCCCGAGACCTGGCTGGCAATGCTGATCTCACTGGCTCGTCGGAAGCCCCTGAACTGAGGGGCGGACATGGGGGTGGACAGGGACGCGCTTTCCATGAAGACGGCACCATGAGACTGAACAACATCTGCTACAAAGTTGAAACAGGGAAATCAAAATATTAGACCGACAGACAGAGGCTGGGCAAGATGAACTCGAAGAGGAAGAGGAGGGAAACAGGGCATTTAGAGGCAAAAATAATAATAAAAAACTTTCAAGAGTGATTGGTATGAAGCATGTTTCATTGCAGCTCTGCTTGGAAAAGCAAGCAAACACCACGGCAGGAAGAGAGATGTGTGGCTGCAGAAGCGGTCTTTGGTTGAGAAAAGCAAAAAAAATTAGCTCAAAAAATACATCTAAAACCCCAAACAGAAATCAAGGCAGGCTTATTTGAGCAGCAATAGCAGAAGCATCTGTCATACACACAAATGTGAATATATACAGCTTTATACATTCACATTGAGGCAAAATAATTAAGGGAAGGGGAACAACATCATCCTAGAAAGCAGATATGTTTTCTTGAAATATTTAGTTTTCCTGAATCAACATCTCTCCGAGGGGGAAAGTGTTAATGCAAAAATATCAAGAAAACATTTTCATGCCTGGCAGGGGCTAAATTTAAACTTGTATTTTATTGCTAATGATACACCAACACTCGTTAAACTAAAATAAGGGTTGCTGAAAGGAAGGGGCCTAGTGCTGAGCATGCTCACAGGGAACATCTATGTGCATCAGAGGGAAAAGGACCCAAAATGCTCAGGACTGGCAAACCAGGAGATGCTAGAAGTCAAGAGGAGAGCTCTGCACCTTGGTTTTCTCCCTGCAGCAGGTGGGAGCAGCATCTACCTGCCTGTGCAAGGCCGAACTAAAAGCCCCTGGCATATCCCAACCTCCTGTGCTGCCAGGGATTTAGGATAAGGAGTCCCAGCAGGCAGCACAGGAGGGACAGGACCATGCATGAGCAAAGCGAGCTACTGCCATCCCACGTTGCCCATCTCTGCTGTACCTGGTGGCAGCACCTGAACTTTTCCTGAGTTTCACCCAGGTAGGAGGTGCCAGGGGACCGCGAGCGCTAACACTTGCCACCTATTCCATCCAGTTTAAATGTCTTTGGATTTAACCCTGCTACACAGCTTACCGAGGGGGTTGGGCTGGCAACTGTTTTACTTCAACGCGGATCTTTTTGCTTGGGGCTCCTGATCAGCCTCCTCCGTCTGTGCCCCCGCTGCGTCGCGGGGAAAGCCAAACTCCGAGCGGGAGCATGGGGACAAGGGCTGGTGACAGAGACCTGCCCTCAGCAGGGAAAACAAGACCACAGGCTGCTCTGTGCAAAAGCTCCGGGGGCTGCTAAATCCGAGACCGAGCAGGAGCCCGACCCGCTGACGAGCTTCACGCGCTGCCCACGTTGTGCCTCCAAGGCCACCCCCAGCATGGCTTTCTCAGCACTTTCCTCCTCTTTTTCCTGCCTTGCATGGAAGCTGCCTGCACGGCTTTCCGACCACCGCAGGCATCGGGGAGCAAGAGGAGGGGACTCGGGCCAAGGTGACGTTCCGACAGCTGCCCCCGCATCGGGCCAGGCGCCGCGGAAGCTCCGGCCTTGTCCGCGCCAGGAGAAACGTCGGGCTCCGTTCGGGGTTAGCCAGCGCCTACCAGCTAAGCCTGAACTCCTTCCTCCTCCCCCTTAAAAATAAAACAGTTGTGGCCTGAAATAGGAAGCAGCTGGAAAGCGTGCTAAAAAAAAGCATTACAGCAATGCTGCACGAGAGGGAAAGCGGGGCCGAGCGCGGGGCTGTGTCTGCACCGAGCCCAGCCCTGCCTGCACGAGCTCTCTTGAGAGCAAAACCCGAGAGATTAAAAAAATAGCAGTTTTTTGGCTTGTTCTTTTCAGGCAGTCTCTCTTTTCCAGGCCTGATGCTGAATTTTTGCATATGATGGGCTTGAAGCAGCAGCCCTCAGAGTAGCCTCCTGGCTAGTGCCAGCACAGGAGCAGTTTTCACGCGCGCAAACGCCGAGCCGGCGCTGGGGCTGCTGAACTGTTCAGCTTGGTACCGCCGCGTTGGCGGCAGGAGCCGGCTGTGCCAGGGCTGGGGCGCAGGCTGACAGCAGCTCCAGCCCACTCACGCTGCCTCCACGTTTCCAGAGATACTGGAATAGCTTTTTTAGCACCCATGCAGCCCCTGTCCTCAAAAGAGGCCAGTTTTTTGAGAGCAGCAATGGCCAGGAAGCGGCAGGCTGGGGATGGAGGACAGAAAAGCTCTCCTGGGCATTGCTCCTGCCATAGTTGAGCTTCGCTGACTGGCAAAGCTGCAGCAACTGTGACTAACGGATCAACCTCAAGACCCGATTCCCTTGTGGAAAAATCCTGGCACAGCCACTTGGCACTTCCTCCTAAGCTCCACGTCCTCTTCGCACCAGCGTCGCGTGCAGCGCCGTCCTTGCCCTTTAGATGCATGGGTTGACCTAAGCACCTGCTGGGGTTTCTGCTCCAGCATGGCCACATTTTCTGCTTGCCAAAGGTGTCTTTTTAAGCGCAGACTTTCTAAGGGCAGTGTCCTCCTTCAGACAGAGGACACCTGACAAGCACAGCACCCTGATCAGCCCTTCTCCTGGCATGCACCGCCCAGGGCTGTGTGGAGAACGGAGGGTTTCCTGCACTTCCAGAAAGGGTGGGACAAGCAGCACAACCAATTTATTTTATTTTGCCTACCTACAGACCTTTATTACTCAATCCAGCGCTGTGCCTTTCCATTTACCGACTTGTTTGTCAGTGTTCTCACTAATTGCTTCCTACTAAGTGAACAGCTCCTAAGGCACCACTGACACCGTCTTAGGTCCTTGGGGTATCCGAATGGCAGATTCCAACACATGCAGGTTGAGCTGTGGCACCAAAGCAGGGAGTTCCGAAAGCATTCAATAAAAATAAATAAAATAAAATAGCCAGGAAGTGTTCAGCACCAGCCAGATCCTGCTTGCACTGGAACCTCTGGTCAGAAGTTTTCATGCTCAGTGCCATGGCCGGACTGGGACACTGGCAATGGCCACAGCTGAATCCAGCACTCTTGGCCAAGCCCTGTTCTTGACACACAGGGCAGAGAGCAGAGAAACTTCTGAGTCCTGTCCTGGCAGCGGGGTGTACCAGATAACAGCTAAATGGCATTTCCTCAGCAACCTCCAAAGTGATTAATTCATAGCGCCTCATCCTTTCCCTCTGCTTTCTCTACAGAACATCCCAGTGCAGGCAAGGTGGCCATGGCATACCTACAAATCTGCAAACATCCTCAAAAGGTGGCAGGAGGCACTGTATGGCGTTGTCAGCAACGCTGCCATTCGTATGACCACGTAACGCGCGGCACTGCTCAGCTTGTTAGCAAAATTAAAAAGCAGCACAAACAAGCTCTCAAAGCAAAATGCTGAGAAAGGGCAAGAACAGAGAGGTTAAGTGAGAAGAAAAAACTCAAAGTCCAAAGTCCCATTGAGATTGCAGAGGTAGCAACAGCCACAACCAGAATAAGGCCATGCAGCACTTATGATGGAAATTAAATAAGCCAAATACATCAAACTTCACTTTTAAGGCAGGAATTGAGAAATTAACTTTAACAAAGCCACCGTAGGGGCTGAAAGCCTCGTTCACTGAACTCAGCAGAGCCACAAGAAGTGTCCCAATAGGAAAGACTCCAAATGTGCAAACGCTGCTCTCCAACACAGGCCATCCCAGAAGGGGAAAAATAAGCACGTGGCTCCCGGCTGCCCTACAGCATCGCCCCAGGGAGGGTCACAGCTCGTGACTGTTCCCGCTGTTTTCCAAGGTGGTTGCCTAGACCTGGACAGTCATTTCCTGTGGCACAGCCTGAGACCCAGCGTGAAGATTTCAGCTCCAGGAGGCAACAGAGCAATCTCCAAAGAAGCACCCCAAGTACCCGACACCATAGACAATACGAAAGTGTAGATTACACACACTCAGCAAAACCAGCACTTTTATTGGAAACATCTTGCCAATTCAGAACGGGAACAGGGATACTTGTTTCCATGAAGCTGTCCTGGTGCTGGAGAGCACCCAAAGGGCTGCTTTCCATGAGCAGGATGGGATTGTTCTGGATTGTCTCAACTAGAAGCAGATGGGGAAGAAAACAGAAGGACAAGGAACAACAGACATGTGGCCACAAGTGTTAACATACAAACAGTTACAACCGAGCACTTAAGACTGTGGATCGGGGTCTTCTATGAAAGGACAACCTTCAAATAGAGGAGAAGAAACCAACCTGGGTGACTTTCCAAATAGACCCACACCAGCAGATTTTAACTGGTAGCAGAGGAAAGCACAAGGACGGCATTTCCCCAGCAGAAGAGGAGGAACTCCTCTTACTCGGCTCGCTCCTCCAAATGAGCCAGCTCCATAAACACCCAGCAGATCCAGGGAAATCTTTTTTACTACGAGGACAGGAGTGTACTCAGAGGGGAGATTTACTTGAATCAGATTCCCAGCCTACACACTGCAAAGCACAGGAGTAAGCAGGGATGTGAATCTGATTTCCACTCCACAAGTTGGCTGTAATGAAATGGGGACTCAACACTTAGTACAGATGGGAAAACAGAAAACAAAACAAAACGTCTAAGAGGCCTCCTGAACTCTGGGCTTGAAAGGCAAGAGGAAACCTGGAGCACAAGCAGAGTCATGGAAGGTTTTGTGCACAAATAATTATAATCGAGCACCTGAATTTTACATCATCACCATATCCCATGCCTTAATTACAGGAGCAATTAACTTGGTGAGGGTGCCCTACGGTGCACGCGCCAGCGTCAGGTCTGGATTTGCAAACCTGGGTCTGACCAGTCCTCCTGTGTAATGTGTAAATCACAGCTCTGAAATTTTGATTCTGATGAAAAAGAATAGCCTACTGCTTTCTGCTAAGCAAATGAAGAGGCTTTGTCTTAACGCAAGAAGAGAATTCAAAGCTGCTCTTTTTATCACTTCTATTCATCACGACAGAGCAGCATCTCCTCTAATAAACCTGGAGAGGGCTTTGGAATCACTCTGTGCATCTTGTACTTAATTGCTGTTTAACTCCTCTCCATTATATCACAAGTGTCTCTCCAAACTTTGACACACCAACTTAACCAAGGTCCAGGGAGGCACCGTAGACTAATAAGTCCCCTGCTGTTGCACAGAACGATAACCAGAATGTGAGTTTCTCAATGTCAATGGGGTTTCTGCCTCAGGCTTCTATGGCAACAGGGGATTTTAAATGGATTTAAGAGGAAGAAAGTAGGATATTTAGGATTTTTCCAAGAAGCCACTCGCAGCTGATACTTAAAATACACCCAAGAAGCAAACTGCTGTTCAAGTTGCTATAGATTCCCTGAGCTTTTCTAAGCCTAACTGGACTTGATACAAATGTAGCTGTGGGTGGATCCATTTTTAAAAATCTCTGTGGCAAAATCTTTGTGAAATCTGAATAGTGTGTGCAGAAAGCACAGAAAGTATTCCATTTGCTTTATTAAACACGGGGTCTAGTAATGCCCATTTAACACAGCAGACCTCCAGATTCAGCAATTAAAATACTGTATTTAAACGTATAGAACCATCAGGAGCACTGCGTTGCATTTCAATTTTAAAGTGATGCACAGCACAGAGTTATTCATCTCTAGTTATGCATTCTTCTTCATTTAGTCCTGCATGATTCAAATATTAAACAAGTGGAAACTTACCAGAGCTTTGAAAGAAAAAAAAAAAAAACAGCCTTGGTAGCTGGTGGCTTTGACATTCTACTTTGGTTTGCTGCCTTCGTTTCTTTTGTGTTGTAGGCCTAGTTTTACAGCAGTGACCCCTAGCCTTTGACTGACAACCTCTAACGTACACACAAAGGAAAAAAAATATGGTGCAACTGTTCTTCTTGCCCCAAAGCCTCAATCCTGCAGGGAACCAAAGCTCCAGGTGAAGCAGAAATGTCAAATTTAATTTAATTCTGTAGAGCACTGAGCTTCCCTGAAAGCTTCTTGCAATGAGAGCCTGTATGGGGATGGCAACAGACCATGAGAGCCCAGGCACAGGAGTGAGGTGAAGATGGTAGGAAATATAATTTGTTTTATCAGATCAACTGCAAGAGCACTGATGTAATGGGAGCTGAGGCAGGACATGGCAAGGACACAGTTGCTTCAGTGCAGCCCCACAGGACAGCAGGGCAAGCACACAGCCATTCTGGACTTTGCTACTACTGCAACTGGGGTAGAGCAAGTGAGGAGGCCACAGATGGCGGAGAAATGTTTCCTAGGGAAACGGAGCATCTCCCTGGCAAGCTGCTAAGGGCAAGGCACTATCACCAGCCCAGCAAGCCGCAGCCACCAGTGCTTTGCCTGGTCCCACCAAAAAGCACCTGGTGCAACCAAGTAAATCATCTCATGACCACACTCTTGACTCTCCTCCTTCCAGTCTTTGCTGGCCCCCAAAACATCAAGCTCCTAAAACTCAGCCAAGTTGATCATGCTTTGTTATTACAGAAGAGTCCCAAGCACAAGAGCTGTCTGGGGTGTAAAACAGGGACCTCCGCAGAGAGGTCACTGCATGGTGACTCTCCGCAACTGATGGCCTTTGCGTGACAAGTTGGGGGCAATCTGGGCCACAAGACACCGGCTTTGTCAGCAGAAAACTACTCGTCTGCTAAATCGGGCACCAAGTTAACATGACAGGGCCAATTCTCCTTCTTGTCATCAATTCCTTTGGCAGTATCATGTAGAAGGTGACTAGAGCCACCAGGGACACCAAGAGACTCACCCAGCACAGCCGAATTGCCGTCACCCAGCGGGAACCTCTGGTAGCGGGGGACGTTGAAGGGGGGCAGCAGGTAGAACTTCCTCTCCAGCAGCGGCTCCAGGCGGGAGGCGGACGGGTCTGCGGGGTGGAACAGGTTATAGACTTGCTGGCAGGCCGGCCTCAGCTGAAAGACTGAAGAGGTGGGGAGAAAAAAATAAAAATAAATTAAAAAAAGAGAGATTTTCAAGTATCCTGGGGTGATGTGGTAGAGTATCAGAAATATTTCTGTGAAAGGGGTGTAAAAAAATAAAATAAAATAAAGCACTAAAGATTAATTACCTTCCTCCAATTCTAGTGTAATCAACTGAATCACTTTATCGGTACAATATTTAGGGAGCAGTTTTTTGAATCTTTGTTAATGTTTGGAAGCAAATCACAAACAGACTGCCTAATCAGCATTGGCTGGAGCAGCCAGTGCTCTGTTTCCTTATGGTGCAATATAGATTATATATGCATACTTGGCTTTACCTGCACTTAGAGTTTGTCTCATCAAATTACTGCATTTGTAGCAGGAGGTGCTTCAACCCTCTGCTCGGCGAGCACAGCGGTTTATGTCAGGACTTACTGTCTAGAGCTGGGATGACAGTTTTTCTCAGCGCAAGAACCAGCCCCAGGGGAGAACCAAAGAGGAAGAAGTCCGTGATCTCAAATTCAAACTTTCCAATATTTCCTCCATCCAACATCGTGGAGCTGCTGGAGCGCCTGGAGCCTGGGTCGTTCCTCAGAACACTAGAATGTAAACTGGGACAAAAGCAGAAAAGCAAGTCAAAACTGGGTGCAGTACGCCTTCCTCTTAATTGAAGGCTGAGTAAGTGATTGACAGTGAGGATAACTTCTATCACTTTCGTGAAGGAACTGTGCCAATCAATCCGCCATGCCTCTGCACTGCAGTTGCACTAGCCAGCAAACTGTCCCTCCGCTTCATCGGCATAATTTAGACCATGGAAATTCAGGCTCTGCGTGGGCTCATTGACACACTCCTCCTAGCTCCTCAAAGTGTTTTTTGGAGGAGTCAAAATGTGGGTTGCTGGTAGTGTAACAGCCATTTGCAAGCTAAAAAAAAAAAAGCCCCCTCAGCAAACCAAAATTACTACAATACCAGGGGAAAGAGAGCAGCTTTGCAGTGATTCATTTAGTTACACATATCACTGTTATGCTCTCTGCTTGTCAACATTTGAGTTCCTTTCATCACCTTATTCTCAAATGTTACGGAAAGCTGCACTTATCCATTTCTTCGTCATGGAAGTAGATGGACAAATATTACAGGATTAAAAAAGCTAAAAGAAAATGAAAAAGGAAAAAGAAAGATCAAGATCTGCAAGACAGTTTCTAAGATCCTTGTGCACTGATTTCACCCTGCAGTTTCCATGCATGTACAAATGCACAGGGGAAGAATTTGGGCCAACGGCCGCAGTGACCACATGGTAAATCACATAGTGGTAAGTCTTTATCATGCACCTGCGAGACTCCCACCTCTCTTCATGCTCTCTCAGGCCACACAAGCCAAGCTACTACCATCCTAACTACCTCTCAATCAGCCCAGCATATGTAGATCATTGTAATTAAAATAATAATAATGATACAAAATGTCCTTAGCTTTTTTCCCGTTTTGGTAAATCAAGGATTGCCCCAGAGAGAGCACCTGTGCCGCTGCCAATGCCATGGGATGCTAACGAAACCTTCTCTTCACGCTGCACTATTCTATATTCTCCCAGTTCTCGCACAAATTATTCTCTTTGGTTACCCAGCACCAAGAAATAACAAGCTTCCCTATGCCAGACACACGAAACACAAAACCAAAATGGCAACGTCTAAAGTGAGGGGAATGAAAAGCCACAGAAAGTGGCAGCGAAGACAAGGAGGCTCCCCTTGGTGTGAGGGGACAGAGTCTCCCTGAGACCATCCTGCCCAGACAGGCAACACTGGAGAGCATTTAAAAACAAGGCACTTTCAGTGAAACCGGGTGGGTTTTAGCTGTCAGGCCTGCAAGGAGTGTGCAAGGAACACAAAGCTGTTTGGCTGTGCAGACGGCAGCCAGCACAGCTCAACTCCAACGAGCACAAACCGACAGGGTCTCCGGAAAGCAGGATGGTCGCACGGGCTTTGAGCACTCCGGCCTTCCTCCCACAGTCTTCCTCATTGTGGAGCAGCAGAGAACAAGGAGGCTTCTCCTGCTACGCCGTTTGGACAGCTTATCCCCTTTTCCTGGGCATTTGATAGTCTTTTTAGCAATCAAAAGAAATGAGAGCCAAGGGGGAACTCTGAATCCGTCATGCTCCAAGCAACCTACAGTGCTCTGTTCTGCCTTTAAAAAGCAGCAGATGTACTGTGTGCATTAATTAAACACGAGCTCATGGATTTCAGAAGCAAATCAACTCATTTACAATAATACAAGTACAGCACAGCCAGAAATAATGGACTTGTGCAGAAGGACTGAATTTAAAAATAAATGTGTGATTGTAATCTCCAGATGCTGCTCTGGCTTACTGGGCCTTATCCCAGAGAAGGGGATAGGGCTGATACATGAATAAAAAAAGAGTATCTTTGGCACAAGTCGAAAGCTGCAATAGGCCTGGACAGAAAGGCCTGCGTGTGCCAAGCTGCCATTTTCTGTGCCCATTAGCAAACCCTGGCTCCGTCTTGCCCGTCTCCGGAGTAAAGCCGTGCCACAACAGGGCTTGGTTTGCAAATGGGAGAGTGAAGATTGCTCCGTGATGGAGCCTGGCAGGATGCTCTGCTGAGGGCTGCACGGGCAGCAGCGACGCTGCAAGCACCGGGCACAGGGCCCGACCCGCCGGAGGGCACGGGCTGAAGCCCTGCAGCGGGACGGGCACCCGGAGCAACCCTGCAGCACGAAGCCTGTCCCTTCCCGCAGGGCATCCTGCTCTGGAGCCACGGGCAAAGACTCATTTCTCACCTGTGGTGGACAGACAGATTACAACAGAAGATCTGTAAACCCCAGAAGGAGTGAAGGAGAGCCCATCCAGCAGGGCACTGAACATGGGCAGCCCTCACCAGGCTCCCTGCAAGCACTTCATGTTGGGAGCAGTAATGTCCCTGAGGACCTGGAGCAGGAGGCATCAGGATGACACTCAGGACATGGCCTCAGGCCACTGCTTATCCCGAAACGTATGTAAACCCGCAGCCAGATGCCGGCCCCCTTCCCCGAGCTTAGTCCATGCCCAAGTGCAAGACCAAGGAGGAGGACACGCACTCATGTGACAAACATCTTCCCCTGCAACAGGGGAGGCTGTTTTGATAGGGGATGAGCATGACACTGATGATGTTTTAGTCACCTACTGGAAAGAGCTGAGAAGATTACTGTTTTTTTGCAAACGTGGCCATCTTTCTGCATACAACATCCCTGAGCACTGCCGACAGCGCTGTGACCCTTGCTCACTCCCATGGGGCTGCGACAAGGGAGCAACGTGAGCGCTGCAGCTAGGGCTGCAGGCAGCGAGGACGGGGAGAGGAGCGCGTGGGTCAGGCCTCTGCCCAGCACGGGGCCAGAGGAACAGCCCTGTGAGCACAGCTGCAATGCAGATAACGGGGTTTGATGGCTGGGACCTTGCTCCCTAGCGCCTGGGATCTGGGAGGAAAGGGTGTTGAGATGTTGGTGCAATTCTTCTGGGCCAAAAGCAGAAAAATGCAGGGAATGTCCAGCTCCCCAGGCTGAGGAAAAGGATGCAGTGAGGAAAAGCCTCCAGGCTTACGCAGTAATCCCTGAACAATCAGCAATGGAGAGGCTGCTATGAAAATTTCATTAGTTATGTTAACAGATACTTTTTCTGAAAGTCCATTTGAGGCAGCTTAGCGAAGCAACCTGGAGAGCTTCAGCACGGAATAACAAATTTCAAACATGACCTTGGTGTGAAGGAGGTGCCCTTACAGGAGCCAGAATGCGACCCCCAGACCCTGCTTCCCGCAGGGAACTCACGTTTCTTTGATGGAGAGTCATATAAAACATTACAGATGGAGCCATCCTCATCCATGGCTGAAGGCTGCTCCTCGAATCAACACAATGAGGGTTGAGGATGCCTCATCCAGAGCATCTCCATTGCCCTGGCAGCGAGGTCCTACTCATGTGACACAAAAAAGGGCACTGCAGTCCACTCTTATCCTTGAACGAGGCCAAAATTAAAGGATACTCAACTTGTGGGCACCTTTAACAACTCTGTTTCACTGCCTTCACACACACATTGCTTAGAGATTTGCTCTATTTCTTCCATCCTGCAACAGCAGCACAGAAAAAAGCAGCCACCTCAGTGCAACGGCATGAAGGGCGTTTCTGTCTGCTGCAATACAGGTGCTGCAGAGCAGTTGGTTTCTCCCACTGCCCCTGAGCAAGGCTGCTGTGAACAGTTTTTTTTTTTTTTTTGCATATGCACAAAAATTTCTACCCTTCTAATCTCACTCAACACTTTGCTTGCCATAGGATGACAAAGTAGTATTTGAGACGCCAAGTTACATCCCTCTTATCCCCAGAATATTGGTGGTTCTGCTCCTTTGAAATCGTACCTTGAAAGAAAGGCCTGATGCTGCTTTATTGTGTCCAGCTCGTAGGTTGATGAATCACTCCTCTTGCGTGGCAGCTGCTTCTTTGGATCTTCTCCGTTGCTACGAGGAATATCAATGTTGCTCCTGCTGAGGTGTCTGCTGCCTTCCAGATTAGAGCCACTGGAACAATAGCTATTGTTCACTGTTATTCCAGGAGACAGGAGATCGGTATCCTGAGGTTTGAAATATATGGATTTATTCCTCCTGCAGCTGAGTCAGGAATACAGCCACTCTATAGCTTCTTCCTTCCAACAACTTGCTTCTCCATTTGCCCCGATCCAGCTGACAGCTACGTGGTACCCCAGATCAGATGCTTCCCAAAGGTGTGTGCACACCCACAACGTGATCTACAGGAGCCACCCCACAGATGAGCCACAGCGCATAAAACACCCCAGCAATTCAAACCCCTTCCCCTACCAACCCTGCCTGAGATGTCAGGCAACTAAGCACCCCCGTTCAGAGCAAAGCTTGCCCAAGCCCTCAGACACACGTGCTGGCCTCAGTCAGAGAGGCTTTGGTCCTTCTCACAAAGATCCTTACTAAAACCAGGCTTGGGGATGCTGCAGCTGGCTGAGCTGTTGCAAGCAGACCTCCATGGTGTCTTCAATCCTTACCTGCACGCTCACCACGCTGCCTCGCCGGCTGCTGTTCTGGCTCTCCGACACGGTCTGATTGCTGTAGCATAAGGCATCAAACCCCAGAATGCCTCCGACACAGTCCCCTACCAAGCAAACCTGGAAGAGGCAACACAAGCAGGGGAGGAGGAAAAACAGCCCCCCTGGGTTCAGATCAGAGAAGGCAATGAAAGGAACGCTGGTTATAGCTAGGAAAGGTGGGGCAATGGGATGCCTCGTTTTTATCAGCAGAATTGCTCTGTCAGTGGACACACGCTCATCACGTGCAGACTCGCTAGCAAACACAGCTAATGTGTCCTCCTAGTTGTCTCCATCAGCCAAACAGAGAGAAGTAACAAGAAGCAAGATGGAGCACAGCTATGGCCCTAACGCAGGTCCCGAAACACAAGCTAGATTCTCTCTTTGCCAACCTTCTGTATGACTTGGGGAAAGCTTCCCTGCTGCTTCTGCTCCTTGTCTCTATGGAGAGAAGACAACCTCGTTCTGCCTGCCAGGGTACTCGGCAGACTGGCACAACGAAGTGTTGAGACCCCTGAGTGCCAACAGCCTGTTTAAGGAGTTGGGGAGCATGGGCTCAGTGCTGTCCCAGAGCAAATCCCGGATGGGGAAATCACACCACAGCAGTGCATGTGCACAGCTGGCGGATCTCTCAAACCATGCTAGGCTAGAGAGTCCATCTGCTCACAGAGGTGTTCTGTTTTGGGGGCCAGCAGCTGTGCTGGCTCAAAAAGCAGCCCATTTCTGCAACAACTCCAGCACTGGAGGCCCTTCGAAGACAGGAATGCTTAAACAGCCTTGGCTTGCCATGGGAATAGAGATCACACGTAGCAACAGCGGTAGCGCTCCGAATTTGGAAAGGTGTGTCGTGCTGAAAATTGATTAGCTTCACAGCTTTGTAGCTTCATTTCTGAACACAAGCTCAGGCTTTGCTCTGAATCCCACCGGTTCAAGACAGAGCCTAAGCAATAATCTCTCTCTCAGAAAGAAAAGGAAGCTCAACACTTCCTTACTGCAGCCCAACACTGTCGCGTTTCCATCCCTTCCAAGAGATTAATGACAGAAGAGCTTCAGAAGGAAATTGCTTCACTTGCTCTTCCTTTCATCGTGGCTAAAAGCAGCCCGTGGCTCACCTGGCCGTTGAACGACGTGCCCTCCGGGGAGCGGATGAACTCGCTGTAGGCCTGGTTGGCTCTGACGATCACGGTGGCCACGGCCTCCTGGTACTGCGGGGACGAGGTCGCTAGCAAAGGGAGTGCGGCAAGTGGGATGTGGTCCTGGCTGTTGGACAGGCAGCCTTCGTCGTAGCTGTACGGGCTGAGGCTGCACAGGGCAAGAGAGATTGGAAAGACTGAGCCCAGTGTGCAGGGAGATGAAAGGTGTTCGCAGGCTGCATGGTCAGTATTGTGGATCATTAAAAAAAGCCTCAAGATAGAAAGGCCATTTATTCCACTGTGAATGGGCAAGAGCTTAATAAATCTTTCCCTCCCATCAAATACAAATCTTCAAGAACAACATACTTGCATTTGTAGAACAACCCTTAGACAAGAAATTAAAGCCTTAGTATATACTGGATTAATTAGAATAAATCAATCACAGAAGTCTTGCTGCATGATTACTGTATTCACTACAACTAAGTATGAAATTGAGATTGAATGCCTCACTAGTTTATTAGTGAGTGCATTTGCAAAGCGTAGTCATAGTTCCCAATATGACCTGCAGAACACCTCATGGATAAGAAAAACAGCAAAATTTTATACGTGTCTCTGTGATAAGGTGGTGGCAACTTACCTGGACACCAGCGAAAAGGCTTCAGAGCAGATGGCTGGGCAAGGGACTAGCTTGATGGCAATGTGTCCAAGAGCAGCTGGGTAATGTACCCTCATCACCGTGTCAAACACGGTCGTGATGGTGTTGACGTCCCCTTGTTTAGAGCTCTGGTCACCACTTCCTGAGTCCAGGATGTTGCCTCCATGCAGGACCAAGAGGAGGACATGAATTTTACTTGGCTGCATTAAGGGCTGCACTGATTCATCCTAGGTGGGAAGGAAATACAGCAGAATCATCCCCAGGTAAAACACAGCAGCAGTAAAGAGGTTGCTTGTGCATTTTAGGCTGGGAAATGAAGAACCAAAAATCAGGCATCGCTTTCTGTTGGGTTTCTGTGCTCAGCTGCAGCAGTTGACAGTCAACCATGTATTTAGCCAAACCAGCAAACATGAGCAGATAGGTCAGCAAGTTACTGGGAAAACAGTTGTACGAGGATGTCAATCATTGCCTCTGCTTGACTAACTGCAAAGTTATAAATAAGTTTAAAGCTTCAGGTTTACTTAAAGCCTTGTAGAAGAGGAACTGGAAGAGAAAAACCTTCAAGTCCCCTCTCACCCAGGGAATGGTCAACATCTGGTTGGTTGCCTGCTGAAAGAAGAAGGGAACAGCTGTCCAGATCCTTTGCTTAGCCCTGATAAGGCCACCAACTGCATCGCCCACTTTCTATGCGGTGTCCAAAAATGGGTGAAATAACCCCTGAAATCCAGCCCTGAAATAGCTGGGGCACCTCGGAGCGCCCGCGGTGCGGGCAGCGAGCGCGCCGCTGCGCTCACCTCGATGATGCTGAGCCGCTCCACGCTGGAGGCCACGCGGTACTCTGCCGACGGCTCGCGATACAGGTCGCCTGCAAGCACACAGGGTCGAAACGTCAGCGTGCCCACTGCAAAGACCATCCTTCATGGCAGCATTGCTTGCGCCAGTGCCTCCCAGCCCCAGATCTTCATTATTCCCCCCAAATTACCCTCTGCTCCCCTCCCTCTTGGGCAGCCCGGACAATGTAGGCTCACTCCTGCCCAGCATTTCTTATCACCCTAGTAAGCGGAGGGCACTAGCAGCCGCCTCTCATTGCTCACTTTAAAAAAAGTGAGGATACTGGGTCACTGCAACAGTGGGATATTGGTGCCCAAGTGTCAGAAATGCTGGGTTTGTGGAGAAAACAAAAGGCACTGGGCGAGCTGTGCTGCAGGAGCAGAGCTCTG